TATCAGTTCAGATTCAACGGCTTCTTCGACATTGACCGTAGGAGGGAGTCACATGGAAGTCCCTACAGAAGCGGGAATCGTAGGAGTTTCGAAATCGGCACAGTGTGGCGGTTGGCCCTGTCCGTAGTGCTTGTCATATGCCAAATCAACTACTTTTTCCGGTATCGAGCTTCGATCAATTGCGAGACATGGTCATCGATCCGCACAACCTTATTCCTGCTCTCAGGAAAGTTTATAGATCGGTGGGCCTTCTCGCTACAGTTGTTGATGGAAGGAGATCAAAGAAACTAGAACGGTTCAGGTTGAAGATGTTGATTTAATTGTTCTTGCACTGGCCGAGAAGCCCTCATCAGGGTCACTCGTAGGTCCCACATTTGGTTGCATCCTCGCTCTACAATACCAGAAGGTGAGTTGTGATTGGAATTGATCCGCTGAAAACTTCTCTATATTATAAGAATACTCTTATTCAGCCAAAATGAGTTCAGGGCGTTTTGAAGGCTTTTTTCGCAAACAGGCGAAGACCAAAAGGTTGAAAGCAGCCGCACTTTTCTTCTGCAAATGTCTACGTAGGCCAGGAACCAGAAACGATTCCTTTTTTGCGCAGTGCATGAGCATAATGCTATGGTGCCAGTGAGGATTCAGATTGCATATTAACTGAAGTAATTCATTTTCATCGCCATCACCATTTGGGAATGGCGAAAATTTGATAAAGTAAAATGAATTTGGTCGAGTATTTTATTACTTTGTCGGCTTAGAGTCGACTTCAGGTACCATGGCGATAGCTATCTGGGTATTCTGCGACAACCTAACCATGGGCCCGTATTTTCTTCACATTCCTCAGCTGAGATCTTGATCGAGCGCTATCAATCGCTATAGATCATCATGCCGTTTGCTTAGGAACGGTGCTCCGGTTACTCGCACTCCGTTCCTTTGTATCCTGACGACGTATGAGTTAGGTGATTTTGAATGTTTTCTTAGTCGAATCAATACATGGGCTCGTGCCACGGCATAGAGTGAAGGTCGAGACGCGATATACCCACTAAGGGGCAGTCGTATCATCTATGGGTTGGACAAAAATCGCAGTTCGCATTGAATAGATTGCCACGATGTGGCATGGCCTTCCTTTGGCCCGAACGCCCACCGACATTGTAGAAGGAGGGGTACCCCCCAGGAGGCCCGTCGCGCGGCAAGAAGGCAAGTCAGCGGACGAGTCGCGCGCGTACTATAGGGATTTCGCGTCAAGTTAAATAGAGTGTCCCACTGCACGTCCTACATCGCACACCACGCGCTGCAACTCGTCCGCCGACTCTGCCTTCTTGCCGCGCGACGGGCCTCCTGGGGGCAGAGTCAACCCTGCGTTGCGCAGTTCGCAACGGCACGTTGAGAGATCCTCAACGCACGCTGTATGGGCGGAGACGCAGACGGCTCGAGCATGCGAGTGTGAATGTTCGCGCGAGAGAACGTGTCTAATCGGGCGAAACTGCGCAACGTGGCCGTTGAAAACTGCGCAACGCAGGGTTGACTCTGCCTGGGGGGGGGCACCCCAGAAGGAGCGTTGGCATTGAAGAGGGCACGATGAGAGTCGCATCAATGTGAAAATCAACTGGCAAGGAAGGGGTCCCGTTTCTCGGATTCCGGGCTGTTTCACATGGTTTCTTCTTCATTTCAGTCGTATAATCCCCCATAAAAGGAAGGGCTTGATTTTTTAAACATTGCTGATAGTTAGTAGATAAGCAGCCATGTAGATGAGATTAGCTTGCGTCCTCTCGGGCCATACTTCGCGCTATCTTCTCTTAGTGTGTCCCGATCATTTGTGAATATTGCAAACTTGATGGCGAATGGGAAAATTGGCCTCTCTTATCGTTAGCGCCACGGTTGCTGACATTGAATACGTTTACGAGAAAGTCATAATTCTAGGGCTATAAATACGAGCTAAACGGCTGAAGAGACCGGGGATAATTAAAGGCGGTTTTTCACTGGCGGTATTTGCAGGCATAATTGAAAACCAAAACAACGAATAATATGAGTTTTATGTGCGTGCATTACTGAAGAAATCTATGTATTTCCTAAGATTTTTTCAGTGATGCACGCAGAGAAGATTAAAGTATGGGAGCTCCTTTGAGTTTTCTTTTTCGATTTGGGACCGGAAGGGATATTTAAATTTATATGTATGCATAACAAAAGAAAATTAAAGGAGAATTTGATATAAATGAATGTCGGGCTTGTACTAAAATTCAATGCTTTGTGTGAATAATGTCGCCACATTGCTGAAGGTCGAGCTAGAGATTGTTCAAGGTTGAGCCAGAACAGGTGGTTTTCTCTTTTCGCATAGTTGCTTAATTTTTCCAGCAACTTTCCTGTGATCTGCAATTCATCTGTGCATGAAGACATGTCCCTCATTGAATGGAAAGGTCTTCCTGTTGAGCTTCCGATGGCAGAACGTGATGTCAAAAATTTACTGGAGGTGGCGAAAATTAACGTAGAGAGGAGGAAGCATTCGAGCCCGAGAAGTTATAGATCAGGTAGATATTTTTGTATAGCGATTGTTAATGGAGAGCCAAGTAAACAGTCAGTTGGTGGCGTGAATAATACCTTCTTCTTCCTCACACTACCCGTTTTCAAAATGGGCTAAAATCATGATAACCAAAAGTTGAATCGCCAAAGATGGATATTATTAGTCTGATGCAAAAATCAGCATGATGAACGATCTAGCTCATTAGCTGAGCTAAACGAGGCGGCCAGTTCAGAGGTCATCAGATTCCCACACAATGACACAAATATCTCCATAAACAATAAAGGCTTCCGTCATATACACTGAAACACTTAGAATAGCTAACACTTGTTCCGTTTTTGACACCTTTACTGATAAACTAACAGAATTCATAAGAGTGTTACTAGGAAATGGTTACCATGAGAACTTTATTATAACTAATATAGTTAAGTGCATTTATAAAAATAAGTTTATATGTTACAAATTTTCAATTGCTAATAATTATAAAAATATTAGTAAGTTAGTGGAAGGAATACTTCGTCACTAAAGTGCTATCTAATTGTTAGTGGAACAATTACAAACACCCACCTTTTTTACACTTTATATTTTTACATTTTTAATCAACTTATTTTTTCATTCATTTAGTCAATATACAATTCATTTCATTGCATGCTCCTCTGCATGAAAGTACGTTACATCAAGGTTTATTCGTCTTTCCCCTGTGTCTTTATTTCGCCAAATCCCAACTCACTGATGAGCTCCGGGGATTGACGAAATAATAAGGTTCGTCTGAGGAAGGAGCGAAACGAACCGTATCTATTATTTTGTTTATAATGGTTTTTCTTTCTTTGGGAGCTTCGAAGAGCATCGAAGGGAGCAGTGAAGAAGCCAGACATACGAAGTTATTACGCTCGGTGCCCACTCCTTCGATTCCGCTGTCCTTCCTGCCCTAACCTACGCCTCAGAGACTTGGACTCTGCGCAGGCAGGACGAGCATGCGGTCAGCGTTATCCAACGCGCTGTCGAGAGGACGATGCTAGGAGTAACCCTATACACGCAAGTGCAGAGGGGAATCCGGAGTGCCGAACTACGCCAACGATCGAAGATCAGGGACGCTGCCGTTTTCGCCAAGGAATCGAAGATAAGGTGGGCCGGACACGTCATGCGATTTTGCGATGACCGTTGGACCAGAGCGGTTACCGACTGGATCCCTCGGGACGTCAAACGAACACCTGGACGACCGCCGGCCGATGGTCAGACTTCTTCACGAAAGCTCTGAACGAAAGGAATGAAGGACATCGTGTCCCTCGAGCGAGGAGGGTCCACTGGACAACTCTTGCACGCGACAGGGACGAATGGAGACGTTGCTGGCGCCCGCTCGAGCAAATCGACGATCAACGGGACGACAGGTGATACAGGTGATCAAAAATACAGAAATGCAGGCAAAGTTATGCCTGGAACCGACCCATGCTCATGCAGACTTGAAGGAAAAGGAGAACGGGGTGCACGGTGGTACGCAGAAAAAATGCGTCTGAATTATTTCAGACATTTTCTGTGTTTTCTTCAGCACATCTCAGTTCTTTGGAAGTTTCTACGCCCCTTCGCTTCCAAGGTTAACTTTCACAAATTTCTGGAATTAATTCATAAGTAAGAAGTCGAACTAAGGGGAAAATCGGGAAACAATTTTGTGGAAAAGCACTTTTCTCCTGAGACAACCGCCGAAAACATTCTTTCCTTGTGAATGCATGGCCGCTCCTGCTGTACTCACCTTCCCTTGTAAGGATTACAGTACGTCAGGTAACAGATGCACTTGCACAGAAAAGTGGTCAGACCTAAAGGCTTATGAAGTTTTACGACAACATGTTCCTTGAAAATCCCTCAATAAGTCCCAAAGCAGAACAGCCCTTCTTCGCAGCCCTCATCGTCCTCAGAATATAACGTCATCAGCCACCACGTCGAACTACAGGAGGCCTACGGTAATCGCTGCGGCCTGTAGCTGCTACCGATTTTTTCAATCGTTTAAGACCTGGATAGCTTCATAGAGGGGGTCATTCTAACTATAACTATAATAACTGTGCATGAGTCCTTCCGACCGCGTTTCTGACGACGTCGTATGGTTCACGATCCGTCGAAAACCTGGCGGACTGAGCTCGAACTGTGCCACGTGAGTCGCCGTCGGTGTAGAAGGCTATTACGGTTTTCTGATAGACTGTAATGTGCTCTTCAATTTTCACTTGGATCCATTCGGTGTGATTTTAGCCAAATGTAATTAATTCCGTTTTGAGTGTGGAGGGGAGTGGCTTTTTTGATCCCCTTTCCCCTGTATGTATGTGTTAGGCTCGTTCTCCCGAATTCACATAAAAAAGAAATTAATGACACCCAAATATCGGTAGCAAAGCTACGCAGCAAAGCTCCCTATGAACTTATATCTTTGCGTTGAACTGGAAACAATTACAGTTTAGATTTCACTGATCCTTCGGAATTGGATTCTCTCCAAATTTATATGAAAATGATGCGGCCGAAAGAAGGGGCAGTGAAGTTAGCTCGAGCTTCCGAGATACTCCTTGAGGTATGTCGTAAGCTAATATGAAGTTCTTCATGAATTCTCTTGAATTATTCTACTTCAAGGCCACAAAACTGCTCTCGGCTTCTCGATCTCCAAAACATCATCTCATCGATCACGTTCAAGAGCCAAACATTCCAAAAACTGATCTTGACTGGTGAGAGAAAATGCACTTCGTTCTCACTTCATGATCTTCACTTACCTTTGCTGTATTACGTCGGTTTGTTTCAAAATCGGCAAGACCCCTTCCTGGAACATTCCTTGGTGTATTTGAGGGCAAAACGATGCAGAACGATCTGAAAGTGGAAAGGGAAGCAATATAAATTTTTGGGAACGCTGAAATTAAGGCCTTAACCTTCAATAAGGTCGGATGTGGTACGATGGCGAGACAAGGGCGGTCAAAGAAGACAAAATACGCGAGAGAGCACGTCGTTTGAGAGAGCACGCTGATCTCACCACCTCTCGCGGTGGGTGGGAAGCGTTGGAGGGTCGATGGTTGCAGGCCCGTAAGGATTAGCGCCCTAACCGCGCAATTTTGCGACGAAGTGGAGTGATCTAGGTAGGTACGGACCTTACAATTTCCTCGCGGTATCCTTCCTACAAGTCGGGCTAATCCCGGGGTTTGCTTTAAAATCGTTACCTTCTCGAAACTACTCTATCTATGTAGATGAAGCTCTAGCTCTTCTACTGGTGGAAGGCTGTACAAATATCGCCTTAATTAGCAAAAATTGCTGATTTTTCTGTTTCCCCCTTCTTATCAAGAATTTTTGCGCACACTCCAATAAAATTAAGAAGACGCATTTCGGCAAACACGATCACTCCCTTCAAAAAAAAAGAGAAAATGCATCTTCTCGTTTAACTTTGCCTAACGTATGGTTAGCTTTGCCAGGGTGGACCCTCAAGAGCGGCGTAGCTATGTACTTTTGACCACTGTTAATCCCAATAGATCTCTGAGAGTTCACACAAGCTTCCACCACGATTGCGAATAGAACTCGAATGCATGGCGTGTCTCGAATCCGGACTTTGTGAATGCGAGCGCTATGTTCTCGACAATAATTTGAGGTCACTCTACTGTCCAAAAAGTGAACAAATTCCATGTTCTCCACTTCCCGTTTTGGAGCTCCTTTCGTAACTCATCACACAGTTTCTCTTATTTACTTTAGTATTTTTTGGTAATCGCTGTGAACTTCAGGTTCATCTCACAATTCTCCCCGCCGGACAAATGTCTAACACAAAATCTTCCATGTGACCACACAGCCAAATACAGGCAATTGTTCCCATTATATATACAATTGCCCTTTTCGCAGATCACCACTACAATTTTAAGGTTACACTCCGGCTGGTGTAACAACCTTCAGCGTCCTGAGTTCGGCATGGCATTTCAACCGTTCATGTATCTTTTGCCACCCGAATATGACGACGGTAACATTGATTTCTATATCCTAAAAGAGCCTCCATAAAAGAAAAGAGTACGTTTCTAGCTGTCGGCGTCGGCAGTAGCTCCGCCAATCTAGGGCTATTATCAGAGTCTGCGATCTACCGCACGATTCGCGCAGATTGTGCGAATCGCAAAAATCGCGAGTGCTCCATCTGAACGCTTAAAACATGACTTTGAAACAAGTAGAACTATGAACAGTCGTCAGCCAACCATTACCGGAAGGCAGAAATGGTGGCGGCCTCGGAGAGCACTTCGCAGTATCGGCTCCTTTCTGTGATCCGTAGCGCATATCGCGCGAATCGCGCGACGGATCGCGGACTCTGGCACCAGCCTAATGCGTAATTTTCTTCATTTCCGCATTTTTCTATCTGACAAGAAGCACAATGCGGAAAGGGAATGGCTAAAACGAAGTACACTATCCCTTTTTGAGCGACAGTGGCGTAAGCGCCAATCAAAGGGCAGTCGTGGCAAGCCGTAATATTTTGATCAATTATGCAGGAATTGAAAAACCAAGAAGTACAACATCCAGAGATACACCACTTCCAAATCCACGAGTTATCTCCAACATCGTTCACCGAGATTTTCCTGCCACCCATCCTAAGGTGAGCAATAGATTTTTTCCATGGTTCTACCAGTAAGCTTACATTTAACGCGGTGTACTACCTACATTCAACATTCCTGACAGTGCAAGTAGAACAGTATTCTTTTTTAGTGGGTGTACCTCATACTAATCGACCACTGGTTTTGGAAACGACCCATGGCCCATACCTACCCTTGACACAGAAGGGATCCATCCCATACAGCGCCTATCATAATTATACGGTCACTGTTAATTTATACGCTTCTTGATCGGGGCGAAAGTAGATATCACAATAAATACATGCAACGCGTCCAATATGCTGTTGAAAGTATTCCAGAAAACCAATAAAAAAGTATTGTAAGAATCTGGGTTGTGAACAAAACATCCACTTCTGGCGGGACTCGAACTCTCACCTCTCGCCTACCGGGCAAGTACGAGCTTGTCTCGCTCTTGTCCGTCAGGGAGAGGTGCGAGTTCGAGTTCCGTATGGACCGCGATTTTTGTTCATGACCCGAAACTTTCGCAAGGCAAACTGCGCTTGAAAACAGCAGTTAGCAAAAAAACAAGCCCTATGAAAAAACTTTAGGTGGGTCCAGTAAACATTGGCCTCCTTACATGGGTGGTAAAGAAATTGCAGCGCCGCCGTTCTAACGTTTTCGGACATTTTCTATCTACCCACCTTCCCTACCACTACTTGCTGTCAGTGAAATATCGGCCATCACCGTAGTCTTATTGCTTTCCACATTGTGTTGGAAGCTGTAAAAGTTTATTGTGAATCATTTTATTAACAGAAATTTAGTACTCGCATATGATCATGCAGTTTGGTCAGTTTATCGGCCACGATATCACACATGCACCTGTAGAGCAAGGTCCAGCAGGCGAGACACTGAACTGCAGCAGGTCAGTGGTTTAATCTGCTCACAGTATTCACGTGGTCATCTTTGGCTGTACGTAGAAGTAACGTATACCTTATTAACATTACGTTAATATAATAACCAAAGAACTGGCTACCTATAACTCACCTCTCTGTGCTTTTGCTTGACGTATAACAAGTCATCTTCCGTTATCATGATAGGTATTTTCTTTCCAGATGCGATTCCTTCTTCACTGTTTCTCCAAACTGCTTGCCAATTCCAGTACCAGAAGACGACCCATTCTTCAGCTCGACTAAGAATGGATCTCCTCGCTGCTTGGCATTCGTGAGAAGCCTCAATGGGCAGCGTCAACTCGGCCACAGGAGTCAAATTAACCAAGTGCGTGGTCTTTTAGACAGTAACATGAACTGCCACAAACTAGTCATTGCATCTCATCTTCCCGTCACATCCTCGACACATCTGCTACTACATTGCGAGGAGCTTTCCACGTACAAAACAGAATACAAATATTTCAGAAGACGCTAAATATCACAGAAATTGATTCGAAATCAATGTAGGTGAGCGAAAGAAGCAATTGTGGAAGCTTCTTGCTCCTGCTAAAAGCGAAGAGAAACCGCAAAAAGCTTTCCGCAAATTCCGGAAAAAAGCGCCTCCACGATTGGAACATCACAGGCATCGTGGCTTGGGAACAGTTAACTCCTTACCATGTAACACGATTCCTAAAGGCGACAGGGGTACCGCGACCTCTGCTTTGCACATAACCCTACGGGTTCACGCTAGAAAACATGCCGTTTTCCACCAACATGCGATTCGCTCCCCGAAATCAGTATATCCCAACACGTGAGAGTGAATTTATGGTCCGTTAGGCTGTGATCTAAGAGGTGAGGGCGAGTTTCGCCCCTTCTCCTTAGACTTTCCACCCAAGCGCCATTGCCTCGACCACACCTCTAGCAACTATTTAATTATTGCAGAAAAAACAAGAACTAAAGCATCTTCCCGCTGCTGTCTCCGGCGTTGCATTAAAACACTAACAGTACCACGCCGTTGATGGACGGTCCAGCGCGCGGCCATTCGAATGCGTCGCGTCCGCGGCCGTTTTTTTCTTCCTTCAGCTGGAGCATACACAACGCAGCGGCGCCGCCGCTAACATCCCAGCGGCTCCCAACCCGGGCACCGCGACAACTGGCTAATGAGTGGTTGGATAGGGTTTGGTCAAGAGTTTATAAGAAATACCGTATTGGAAATATAATCTTCACTTTGCAGCGCCGCAGAGGACGATTGGGCCAAAACACCTAACCGGATACAAGTTGCAAATGAACCTCACCTTTAGGCTCAGCAGAATCGACGCTCGTTTCTCCTAAAGCTTCTGTTTGACAACTTAATGTGCTGATAGCAATATCAAAATGGCGGCTTTTAGATCAAATATGTTGCGTGTGTGATACCACTTACGGCACCCCTATTTCCACACCCGCAGTCCGTACATCTTGACTCATACCCGGACTAACCTCCATTTATTGTTTTCTTACATTTGTAGTCGCTTCTTGCCATCACCTGTTTAGCTCACGGCATACATCGATGGCTCCGTTCTCTATGGTTCCACGTTATGCGAAGCGAACGCTCTACGGAAGAAATCGGGTGGTAAAATGGCAAGCACATTGCCGATAACCCCACTGGGAAGGTAAGCAGTAAACGTGTTTTAGCTTTGCAACAGACTTTCCTGCCGGATAGGGATTCAGTTTGCTCTCACCAGCTCCAGACCAATCCGAGTGCCGTTCTGCACGTACTGCTCCGTGCTTTACTTCAGGAGACGAAAGGGTCTCCCAGCATCCTGGATCACCACAATACATACACGTTAGTTCTTATTGTTCCTATCTGAACCGAGCTTATTAGAAGAAATTCTGAATCGTTGAGGCCCATAAGAGTGAGATCTGTTCCCATCATATAGGTAAATCCCAACGCTCGACATGCATGAGAGAAATGTCAAAATTCAGGTAAAGTAATATGGGGACTAAATCTTCAGCTAGCATAGCATGAATTCTTCCTTAACGTGATACCCTTATTTGAGAATTATGCCACCTATATTTATAGCCAGCGGACCAATCGAAACGATCTCAAGAACATTCTCATTATTTGAGGGTGCGCGCAGTAACGCGCCGCTTTAAAACTGCGCCCAAATAAGCTATAGAAGGCAAATGTCTGAAGCATCTCAGAAAGGTCATTCCATGCACATTCGAATTAAGCCATACAATAGCAAGGCATACAACAACAATACAATACATTACTGCGACTAGAGACGATTTGGAGAAATTGGCTGCTGGCACAACATTTCGCGGGATCATGTCCCCCGGCTCTGAGCCTACCTTAGGCAATCAACATGCTCCTTCCCAAATGCCATGGTCGGTGAGTTGGTCAAGGACTCGTCTGGGAGGGCAAAATAATTGGATCCTACATTGGTTGGAGCACGCTAGTCGTTGGAGACCCAATATGTGCAAGTGCAACTTCACCTTCAAGGTGAATACACTGATCTCTGAGGTCTTGGAAACACTGTTTTTCAAGGTCGACAATTTTTTTTCATGAAATCATCTCCATTGTGAATGATCTCTAATGTATAAGATGCTCTAGCATTGTGTGCAGTGTTTTCCACAGGGAGCACAAACCGCATAGAGACCGAGCTCAACTCGATTAAGCCACATTGGATTCTGAGACCATTAGTCGAGGATTGGTTTAAGCTCAAAGTTTTTTTTTTCAACATTTGAAGGGACAAGCCATTCCTCGTCGCTATCATCACTCATTTGAACGGCATTGCCTGGGCCCAGGGTCAAGTGTGCGTTGAGGAATCCTCGACACGTCGCAGGGGGGGGTCGTATTGGCCCGCTGGGAGGAAGGGATCGGGCCGGATTGATGCACCACTGTCGGAGGACAAACATCAGGGATCGAGTCGATGCCATGGAAGGCCAGAGGACTTCCAGTACCAATGCTGTTCCGCCCACATAAAATTTTCGTGATTCAGAGGTGTGCGCGTAGTGATTTTTCACTACCTCAGAGTTTTATCTTTAAACTATCACTAACAAGTCAAAAAATCCAAAATTCGCACGTTTTCCAACGGATATTTTATCTTTCAGGTGAGTCCTCGAATCTCAAGGGATGTGAAGCACACGGCGCATACCAGAGTGGGCCCAGTTAGTTGCGCGCGCTTTAACTACGGCTCTTGAGAGAAAAACTCTCAATTCAGAGAAAAATTAAGAGGATCCTGAAAGGGTCTGTGTGAGATTACATGGAGGAGTACACTATTGAGCAAGAAATGCAGCCTTCAGCGTCAAATTCACAAGCATGTAATCGTTAAAGTTAAGACACGCTAAACAATTTTACACTTCTTTGGAAAGAGAAAAGAAAGAGGATTTCGAATCTGCTCCTACTTTAGTGTATAATTGCCTCCTGAAAGGAGCTATAGTCGTTGGAGTAGTGCTAATGCAGCGAAAAAGTGACTTTCGGCGGTACTCGGGCAAAAATCCTCAACGTGGCCATTTTTTAAATTGTGGACGTTTTTAGCAGTCCTGGTAACCGTTGAATAGTGCAATTCTTCTAGTTTATGCTGACGTATTTACTTTTCAGATTGGATGGGTTTGAACGTAGTTATGGTCTTGGAAAGCGTAAAAACTCGCACTCATCGCAAAATTTTCCTCGTTAATTTTGCGAAAATCCTCAACGTGGCCATTTTTTAAATAGTGGACATATAAAGCTGCTTTAGCAACCATTTGATAGAGAAAATCTTCTAGTTTTGTATGACATATAAACTTTCCGGGAATGATGAAAAGGGAGCAAGTTACGGCCTCGGAAAGTGTAAAAACTCGTGCTCATCATGAATTTTCCTCGTTAATCGATCTAAATTTGTTATTTCTTATAAATTTTTGTGATTTCAATACTGGTTAGAAAAAGAGCTCTTCACAAAACTTCCAAATCTGCTTTCAGATTGAAAATTCGTCATATTTGAAGAAAGTTATAATCATTTGAATATTTGTTCAAATTTCAATAGTAAATAAGCTGCTCCACGGTCAACGCCAAAGTCCAGTCAGGACGTAAGCAAACCAGCCCTTTTGGCACATCGGCTGGGACCGTATGCTGAATGTTGGGGAGGGGATGGTGTCCCCGACGGTGGACGGACAACTTCAACGCGGTCCTTAGAACCGCCACAATTTGGCGCTTACCTTAGAACTAAGCCTTAAAGAGAGGACGGGTCCGTCCCCTCTCCTAGGCTTAGTCCAAGGGTGAGCAGACCGGTCCTTCTGGCGAAGCTACTGGACCAGCTGCACCACTTGCGTCAGTACTCTCCTATCGTACCAACCGAGTTGAAGTAAACCGTCGACCGTTGGGGACCCCATCCCCTCCCCAACATTCAGCATACGGTCCCAGCCGATGTGCCAAAAGGGCTGGTTTGCTTACGTCATGCAGTTCACGAAACGCAGCTGGCTAAGACGGTTAAAAAGCTTCTTTCAGCTTAAGGGGGACGTGTAAATTGATAACCGTACTCTGTGTAGTACTAAATTTTGGTAAGTCTTGTGAAGGAAATAAATAAAGAAGAGATGTTGTCATAGTATGCATTTTTAGTGAGTAGTTTGAGGTTTTCTGCTGCTTTTTTCGTTTGCTCGTTTGGTAGGACTCATCAATAATGATTAATTTTTTGACTTTTCACTTTTGTACTTTTTAAAAGAATTTTCGGTTGACGGTGTGATGGCTTTTTTATGAACAGTTTTGGGGGAGAATTAGACAACCTTTCCATAGTTCGGCTTTTGAAGAGGGTCGTTTCATGGACTTCGGCCTCGGCGGAGGGAGGGGGGGTCGTATTTCCAAATTTTCCTCGACGCCTCGCTTGACCCTGCTCGGGATGAAAGCAATCGCGAAGGAGGTCTTGACACCATCTCAGCATTCGACTGCCCTAGTTGTTGCTTTTTGGACGGCTTCGCCCATTTTGTTGTGTCCCGCCTAGCGGGCATGAGCAACTCCGCTTTCTTCTAACGAAAACTGAACTTGACCCTGCCTC